TTAATTTCTCCTTCTAAAATCATTTTGTTTGAGAAGTAATATCAAACATTCGACAGAGTGTTTCATCACCAGATGAAACTCCTCGAAGTTCGTCAAACATACTCCGCTGCGCGTCGTATTTTCAACTCTCTTCTCGGTGTTTCATCCGGTGATGAAACACTGAATCTCATGCTTGGTGTAATACCTGAAGCACAAGAAGGCAAGGATGTTCCCCTTCCACTCTTTAATCATTTTCTTTGAGTCTCTCTAAGACGCACATTTAGAGCAGGTCCCCACGGGGTGTGTACAGAGGGCGGGTGGGATTGCACCACATTTGAATTTCACTTCATCCTATTGCTGATCAGACGAAAAGCTGTACTCTCACTCAATCTTTCATTTCTGGTCTGACGGGGTTACTAGTATTCTCATCGTCAATTGAGTTTCCGTTTTTCTTGCAGCTCGGCGTTACTTCGCATTACAATCCAGTTGTGAACATGAAGCCATTAACACACTACAGCATGTTGTTATACAAACAACTCCCTCAGGAAACCGGTCAAGTGAGTTCGGGGGGCGGGGGTTATTCCTTATATTTGCCTTGCCTTATAGGTTTGTGCCGCCCCAAAGGGTATGGGTTTTGCTCCGTTTTGTCTGAAAACGGATATAGACTTTGCCTATTTTAGTCTGAATTCGGGTGTGGTTTTCCGGGATAACTACAGGAGTGTATAAACGTGTTTGTCTTTTCAATTCGAAATGAATAAGAAAGAAGAGTAATATGCCAATTCGAAATGGATTAATCTTTTTGTTGCCATTCTAATAAGTAATAATGACATAATTTCTGCCTACGACAGGTCTGAAAACGGGTATGGATTTTAGAGGCCTGGTCTGAAAACGGGTGTGAAAAACGACAATCTTTTGGTCTGAAATAGGATCGGGATTTGGAGAACCAAACAAATTCGCAGGAATACCCCTGGGGGAATATACACCTGTTTATGGTTAGTTTTTTTGCAATATCCTCGATTTCATGAGGTTCTAAAAAGTTGCATCCCTTCCACCGAGGGATAGCACAACCCAATTCAAGCTTCTTTGACTACTTTGTCTCAACGAACGTGATGCGAATGCGTCAGAATCCTGCAGTTGTTTCTTTCTTCACTTTCATATCACGGAGGATTTTGTGAATTATTTTTCTCTTTTTTTTTGTATCTTTTTTTTTCGGTTGTTAGGACGTAGGGTTTCACATGTGTGGCAGTATAAGAATATGCACAACTCCTGAAAGACTTGACGAGGCAAAGTATCAAATGCAGAGGCATGGCTGGATGAAGTCACCACAGAGGATAATTACAACAGAAGAGGTCACCAAGGTTCATCCGCTTCTCAATGTAGATGATGTACTTGGAGCTTTGTACTTTCCTGGTAAGGAATCATTAATTAGCATAGACGCTCTTTTTCTATTCCATTGGTTACACGGCTATGTGGGTCGCGCTTTTCGATGCTGTGGGGCTTTTGACTTGGAGACGACACATGAGGGTCTCTTTCGAGTCTCTCTCGCAGTTTCCTGTTTGGCCTCTCTCTTTTGCCTTCTCTTCCCTTTACTTGGCTTGGTGGAATAGTAAACGTCCATTGTGGTATAATCACAGGCGGCCCAGACTCTGAAGACCATCTGAGCTAGGTGATTTGCCACTGTCCTTATCCTTTATTTAGAGCTACATGACACTCTTTTTCGGAGTCTTTTTCGTTAGACTTTGAATTTATAAGAGAATGTATGAGAATAAACAAAATACGTCCTAAAATCTTTAAAATGGCTTTAGAAGCAAAGAAACAGTAAATAACAAAACAAAAACACAAGGTGTGTAATTTTCATTTCTATTTTTGTCAAACAATGGAATCACTTAGGACGTATTTTGCTTATTTTCATACATTCTCTTAAATTCAAAGTCTAACGAACTCCCAGAGAGTCTGGGTATAATCATAATCAAACTTATACGCAATTAGTTTACTTTTCATAAATCGCGTTTTCAGAGGATGGCTACATTGACCCATATTCCTTGGCCCAGGCCCTTGCAATTGGAGCGCGGATGTATGGGGCCGAGATATACATGCCTGCACCAGTCACTGGACTCAATCTCAGATCTGATGGAAGATGGGATGTGCTCACCCCACACGGGACGATCAAAGCAAAACAGGTTGTTAATGCGGCAGGTAACGGAAATAGAAATTAATATCAATTTACTCTTGATTGGTTCTTAGTTACAGCTATAACAATAACAAATTCTGTTAAATCAGGAAAACGGCTGTTTAGTTAGGCTTGAACAACACCTTTTATCCAGATTGCTCCGAGCGTTTTGAAGATCTCATATGGTTCGAAGTGTCGGATGAGGCACGAAATGCTCTAATTGTCATTTTATTTGGGTCAGGTAATTGGAGATTCTCCCCAACAGGTCAAGTGTGTTCTTCCGTGACTGTGTGGCTCTGAACAGAACTGTTGTTAACATTAAGTGACGTGGGCTCAAACCGTTTACAACTGGGATGTTCGTTCTGCCCCAGCTCGCAGCTTCACGGGTCTACCTTACAGTTATACCTTAACTACAACACTAAAACAAGAACTGCGTACTTAATCTAATCTTGTCTAGGAAGTGTTTGGTTGTTTGTAGCATGTAAAAATGCAGAACGATCACTTGAAATTGAGCTTTATTCGGCAATATTGCTTATCAACAAATAACGTCTTCCTTTTTGTTTCTCGTGAAGGTTTTTGGGGGCGAGAGATAGGACGCATGGTGGGAACCGAGCTTCCCTTGGGCGTGGTACATCATCAGTACTTGGTAACTGGAACAATTCCTGAAGTAGCCAATTTAAAGAAAGAACTTCCTTTCATGAGAGATTTGGAGGGTTCAGTTTACACTCGCCAGGAGAGACAAGGGATTGCAGTTGGGGTCTATGAGAGTGCTGACAAAATGAAGATGAAAGATGATTGGTAAGTTTGAGGATCTTAGGAGGTTTCACTCTGTCAGCAGAGTCTCGCTGTTGCCTGCTCGATTTGGCGTTTGAAGAAAGTCTCTGCATGAATCGAGTAAGATTTTTGTTGATAGTTGCTGGGTCAGATCTGCTTGGGTCAAATCAGGCATGTAATTAATCTCTATGCCTATTTTCTAGGTGGGATGCGGTACCTGAGGGTTTCGGAAAGGAATTATTCGAAAGTGACTTGAACCGAATCAGCGATTACATGGAATACTCCATGAAACGAACACCTGTGCTAGCAAACGCTGAAATTACAAGTGTTGTATCAGGTCCCATTACCTACTCACCCGACGCTATTCCCCTGGTTGGTCCCGATGCACGGGTTCCTAATATGTGGCTGGCCCTCGGGACGGGTTACGGTATTGGTCTGGCTGGTAGGTTCATTCAGACTTTAATAATCACCACATTCAAATCCTGCTGTATTAAGTAATACAAATTGACCATACAGCGTAAAACAGTTTAAAGCTAAGGAAATTCTCGGGCTGTTTTTTCTTTGCTGGTTTCCTCAGTGGTCGATTTGCGCGCGATCCACCTGAAGATCATTTCGACACTGGCAAAACACACCACCAATTTATTAAGTAAGGCTTGCACAAATGTGGAGAGCCCTTAATCCTTTGATTACGCAAAGCTCTTGTCGGGTCGTTTAAGTTTTAGTTGCAAAATAACTTTGAGATCTTTGCCGGCCCGAGATAAAGCAAATGGAGCGAAAGTTATTCTGCGAAGTTAGCTGTCATGGAAAGCTAATGTAGCCTGGTGCTCATCTCATCTTGTTTTATACTCGATAAAAATTATTCCATCTTTGAACTGCATTTTACAGGTGGTATCGGCAAATACTTATCTGACTGGATGATTGAAGGAGAACCGCCTTTCGACCTCATTGAATGGGAACCGAATCGCTATGGTAACTGGGCCACAAGAGAATACGTTTTGGCAAAGGTTCGAGAGACGTATGGTCTGAACAATGAAATGAGTCATCCTAAGGTAGAAAGGTGGGCTGGGCGACCAGTTAGGATGAGTGGTATCTACAAGGCAAGTCTTAACGGAAAGTTCTTTTTCTCGAACCTGTCCGACTAAAGGAGATCACATTTCTATACATTCAATATTTGTATGACCTCGCTTATCCACACTGACGAATGCTGGATAGTTTAACCGTTTTGCTGGTTAGGTGTTCACAGCAAGAAGTTGAGTTTGTTAACAAGGATTTTCTTTAATGTCGTTTAACAAAGTTAAACTCAACATTGTATCACATGGCTTTCATTATAAGTGTGACTTTTCAGATGCTAACAGACAACAAATTAACGAATCAACTGTAAAGAACGAAATAATTCAGACTAAATATATCAAAAATATACGAATGCCTGTACGAACGATATCCGGACGCAACAGTCTACTCTATGACTAGAAAAACGAACAAATCGTAAGCCAGGCAAATTTTGAATCATATTCCTGGTAAGGATGATGAAAAGAAATCTAGTAAAAAGAGCTTTTAAGCTCTTAAACTTTTAAACTTTTAAAAAAGTTTAGACGAAGCTGCAAAAAGAACTAAAATTTCTCGACTACGCCTTTTTGTATCTTTTTGCAGAGGCTGTGTGAGCGTGGCGCGCAGATGGGCATGCGCTCTGGTTGGGAGCAGCCCAACTGGTTCGCCCTTGATGGTGATGAGCCAGGTTATAAACCCAGTTTTCGACGGACAAACTGGTTCGAGCCCGTTGGTCGAGAATGTGATCTGGTCCTGAATAAAGTTGGCGTTATAGACCTGTCTCCTTGTGCTAAAATTGAGGTGACAGGAAGTGGCGCTGGTTCTTTTCTAGATGTGATTTTTGCCAATGAACTACCCAAGGTAAGATAGTTATTTTTTATTGCTGGAAAAAATTCATTGAAAACACAGAACTTATGATGGCTTTTTTTAGTATGGTTGGATTCTATGCTTCACCTATTTACAAAAAAAGTTAATTGCGTTCTGTTAGAGGGTATTCCAAATACTGATATAACTTTGCCTTGGAACGTTATTTCTTTAAACAAGACAAGTACATTCGGCGTTGCAGTTGGACACTAGGCTCGATTTCCGTCTCACTCTTGGTTCCGGTCTTGTTTGGACTGTTCACAGCTCCCTATTTTGCCGTAAGATCGTCGAGATCAAGCGCTTTACTTTGCTTAGAGGGCGGCCATCTTAGATGAGTGTCAAATCTACTTAGGGGACGGGAGAAGGTTTGGGAGGATGCTTTAGACCCCGACGCCCGCCTACTCGTTACATATCAGTAACAAAATGGCACCAGATGATGTTTTTCTGTTGTTAATAAATCCTCCGAGCAAGAAAAAACCAGTGCAAAAGTTAATTGCAAAATACGTATTCGACTGCTATGAGAAAAAAAGATCATTAGTTCTTTAGGTTAACATTGATTATAGTTCCACTAGTGTGCAATGTGTGTTATGATTTTAAATTATTTGGATAAAGTCGATGTACATAGGACTGTATAAGACTCCAAATAAAGCATTGTCTTGTCTTGTCTTGTCATATGAAATCACGATGGCCGCCCGCACCGGTAAGAGCTCGGTCCTGACGATCTTACGAAAAACAGGGGACTGTAAACAGTTTAGGTGGTGTTGTGCTCATTACCCAAACAACGGCTAAAATTATTTTTTGTTAAGGATTTCCCTGTTATATCACAATTATTAGAGACCTTTAGATTCGAAGACGAAAACGACTACGAGTACGAGATTTGACTGAAAGATGTTTAGCGTATTCTCCAAAAGTAGACACCTCGGAAAGCTTCACTGTACTTTTGAATCACCAGAAAAGTTAGCACAGTTATCTTAATTGAAGGAGGTTTAGCCCTCTCCCATTTGCAAATTGATAAAGCTTCCAACATTTCAGTGATGAAACTCGTAGTAGAGTGACGACGAATGACGACGGCTGTCGAGTTTTCCCGCCAAAATGACGCTTGCTCACGCGCGAGCACTACTTAGTATTGAGAAAATCTCATGCTCGTAGTCGTTCCCGTCTCAGAATCTAAAGGTCTCTATTTGTTTATCTTCCTTGAGTGTCGATTTACAATGAGCCTGCGAAAGAGCTGTCGGGGAAAGTGGTCGAGGAAATGAGTTCTCTCCTCTTACTGTACTTTTAGGTGGGACACACAAACATAAGCCTTATGTTGACACCAAAGGGGAAAGTGTACGCGGAAATGAACGTCTCTTGCTTGGCGCCAGACCATTATTTGTTGGTAACTGGAAGTTCCAGCGAGTTTCACGACCTCAGGTATATACTACTTTGTATATCGAAGGCTTCATCTAGTTTTATATTTCAATTGAGAGTTGTTGTTCCTGGATTCCAGCTGGGGAGTTATGGGAAGAGGCTAGCCTATGTAGCCGCTCCTCCGGTTTTGTTTGAGGGGAGTGGGCAGCTGCTCAGGGTAACTGTGCAGGCTACGAAGAGGCAAGCTCAAAGGAGATTAGGAGCGGAAAGACAAACCAAACAAATACGAGATAGAGTCGTGTTTTTTTTCCAAGCAAAATTAGGCGTCGAGTAGTTTGTTCAATAAGATACAAAACTTGCTCTTTCACAGGTGGCTGCTGGAAAATCAGCGTAAATTTAATTATGATGTCCAGATCAAGAATATCACTGATGACGTGGCCTGTCTGGGCATCGCTGGACCTCGATCACGTGAAGTTCTTTCGAAGCTGACGTCGTCCCCTTTAAGTGATGAGGCGTTTCCTTATTTGGCGTTTAAAACCATTGACTTGTGTGGACTACCTGTTCAGGCCTGTCGCTTTTCCTTTACAGGTAAGAAGATACACATTTCATCTGATTTGACCTTAAGATAAATCCGGTGGATTTTTTTGTTATATAAAAAGGAGATCTCTTACTAATTTAATACATTAATTTTAGACTAAATAATTCAGTCTTATCGGGGTGTAATACCCTAGACTAAATTTTGCGAAATACCGTGGCTGAATCTTTTTCTATTTTTTCTTATTCATTTGGCACAAGTCACCATGTCGATCACATCGAACAGATTTCAGATTTTATTTTATTCGCACTATTTCAAAAGGTTACTACAAAAATTACGAAAATATACATTACAAAAGTAAGAAAAAAATAAAACAGCAAATTACATAAATCATCGAAGGTGCAATGTGCGCAGTGACCAAAGAAGATGAGGCTTTCTAGTTGGTCACTGCGGCGTGCAACTAACTGGCGTAGACATTTACAAAAAACTAAAAGTAAAACATTTACATAAAATTACAAGCCTTATTGCAGTTTGCATACTTTAAAACTTTTTATGCCATATAATCGTACATCAAAATAAGCTTAATCACTCTTCCATATCTATGCATCAAGCTAAATGCTGGTATTTTAATTTTGTAGGTGAGTTGGGTTGGGAGTTGTTTCACAACAAAAATTACACTGCTCTTCTTTACGAAGCCTTGTTGAGGGCCGGTGAGGATTATGGGATCGGAGACTTCGGCACGTACGCAGTAAACTCACTGAGACTAGAGAAAGGTTTCCATGCCTGGGGATACGAGGTACAATAACAATCGACTACAAGTAGTCCCCATTTTCCCTCTGGGATAGTAGAGCGAGCGAAATGCGAGCGCGCGTGATTTTTCTCTCTCCCCGGCGCGTGTCGCCTTTTCTCGCTTGGGGTGATTTTCACGCGCGCTCGCGTTTCGCTTGCTCTACTATCCTTGAGGAAAAATGGGGGATTACTCGTAGTCTACAATAACAATAATGGTAATAATAATATTAATAATGACTAGGGTATCTAAAAGATAGTAATGCTGCGGCACATTCTGTTGATACTGGCATTAGTTAGGCAGTGGGACGTAAAAGAATCGAAAATGACATTGAATGTCCTGTTTACATGTTGGAAAGTACTAGAATAATTACTATCAGTCTATATAAAGAACTCGTGGGAACGTTGTTTAAAAAATGATCAAGTGGTTATCAACTCTGGTTTTCCACAGTAAATTGTAGGAAGTGATAGAAATTCAGATTGTTTGTCCATATATTTAATATTGGGTGTACTATCTTTTCTCTGGAAGCATGATACTTTTCTTGCTGTTTATTGCACTTTATTAAGTAACAGTTATTTAGCTATATATTTATAGAAAACAACAACACAAAAAACAGAAAAAAAAGAAAGAAGGAAAAAAAGAGTTCGGTAGGACTCGAACCCGGCACCATCGGCTCGACGCGACTACACCTCACCACTACACCACAGAGACTGATTACGTCATTCAGGGAAAAGTCTTTAATTTAATTCCTTTTCCGTGAAACTTCCGCCGGCAAGATGATCGCCAGCCGCATTAATCGAGCTATTAACAGCGAAAAAACAATGTAAAGGCATATTCCATGGCAATGAATGAATGAAAGAACATAATGATGCTTTTCAAAACACCGATACACCTCCTCGTCTGCAACGTAGGACACAAAACATATCTTTTGTTATCTCGATTTGCGCTGTTATTTTGAAGCGAATGGTCAAAATCACATCCATTTTCGGCTCATACAGGTTCTTAAGAATAGCATGGCGTGACATTTTCTCACTTTCACATCACCTTCTAGCAAGCTGGAATTTGTATATCCCCCGTGTTGCGGAGTCGAAGAGCAAATACTCATCTTCTCGTCAGGTTTAACACCTGGACGAGTCAAAGGCTCTTGAATTGCAATCCAATCCCCAAGTTAACCATCGTACTCATCTGAAAGACTCCTGCGTGTCTTAAATTTGGTAAGACCTCGAACCGTGCTGTAGAAAATTTGCTGCAGAGAAAACTCTGAGTCTGGGCAGCGAACGATGCGAACTTCCCCGTGTTTATATTTGACTTGTTCGTGGCGCAATGCACTCTGGTTAAATGCAATGCATTGTGGTAAAAAGTGATGAATTCGAGAATTCGTCGCCCCTTATATATTTCCCTTAAATCCTGATTATGTTGCTGCTCGCTCCCTACGGTCGCTCCACAGCAATGATAATGATAACGGTGCGATGGCGATGACGTTGATTATGATGATAATGATTATGTATAGTGATGATGAAAAACAATGTGCGCCATGTCCATTTTTCGTATACTGATACATCTACCTTTCGAATTATTTATCGTTATTTTTATTTATGTTTGTATACAGATGAACATGTCAACAAACCCAGTTGAGGCGGGTTTAATGAGTTTCGTAAAATTACACAAGGTATGCAACAAGACTTAAAGGTTATTCGTCTAATTCTCTGTTTAATGTAGCCCAAGGAGGTACGTTCGTCACATAATCCAGCTTGTGGCAGCCAACCCTAGCCGATTTAGTAATGGTGCGTGGGTAGCCTGTTGATAGTTTTTTGAGAGATCGAACCCTATGGAGTCGGTTTTCTTCACATTGCTGCTTTCTAGGCGTCGACTGGAATTCAGTAAGTAAGCCATGTCTGTTCCTCTGTCATGGTTGCCCCCTTACCTTTTATCATGTTCTCTTTATTTTCTATAACAACTTAACCTTAATCCGCTTGATCTCGGTAGGGTGTCGACTTTATTGGACGAGATGCTCTTCTTCAACTGAGAAAGGAAGATTGTAAGCGTCTTTTGTGTTTTTTAACTGTCGATACAACAGACAAGGACCCTGAAGGCAACGAAACTGTGTGGGTTCAAAATCAGGTAACGTTGAATAAATTTGATAGCGTGCTGAAGACACAAAAGATGAAGGCTATATCGCTTCGCAAATATATGTATTTTTTAATCACACGCCCAACTGTGTTAGCCTGATTATCAGATGTCCGGGGTCGATCGCGCCCCCTTCGCTCCTCTCCTTCGGACTTTGGTCGTCTGATAATCAGGCTCGCACTGTGTTGGCCTGCTGCGAAAAGACGGACAGTCTTGGCATGGTGTCATTTGGGGAAGAGAATTTCCCAAAAAGAAGTTAAGTCATCACTAGTTTTCGCTTGTAACCGCCTTAAGACATTTTGAATTCAACCTCTAACTAAATCCAGCGAGCGTTAAAAGTTGGGGCCATTTTTAAAGTTATGACGTAACATGGGCCAATTCCAAAGCTTTCGGTCGGCCTTAGAGGGAAGTAAAAAAACAAAAACAAACAAAGAAACAAAAGGAAACAACTCCCCAGATTTGATGTCAAATCTGTATCAACAAGAGCCATTACCATTATGGCTCTTGGTATCAAGCGGCCTCAAGTTACTGCTTAGTGCTAAATCTCTCTACAATGATCTATGCCCTATTAGTAAAATCCAGCTAGTGGTCTGTTATCGATGCTGCGTTCTGATTGGTTGAGCTACTACTAGGCTATATGTTATATCCCACCAGAAGCGAAAAGCGCGGGCTTTTTGGCGGCAAAAAAGGATTAAAGTCTAGCTTTAACTAGTTTAAATTTTTTTATTCTCGATATTTTTGACCAACTCGCCTTTATGGCCTCTGAGTCAATAGCCCATTCGGCCTTTGGCCTCAAGGGCTATTGACTCAGAGCCCATTCGGGCTCGAGGAATAATTGTTAATTATACAATGATGTGAATACTACGCGCGCCGTGATTGGTCGTTGCCTATGATCTATCAGAGCTACATGCAGATACATAGAAGACGTCAAGGGAAACTTGTTTTCTTTGTTTTGTTCAACATAGCGCGCTATTTTGAAAATGTTTTTGAGATTATTTCGGCAAGCACGTGAAAGCCTCAAAAAACGTTTAGCAGGAGCTATTTACAAAGAAAAAAAAAAGGAGAAACGGAGACAAAAAGAGCTCTTGACTACTTGAGAATGCCTAAACTACTTGAAATCTTCACAACAGTTGCAATCGTGTGTCATCGCTACGACAGACTCGCTGTTTTGCAAAATGTTTTCGCCAATATCCTGCTTTGAGCAAGAAAAGGCGTTGAAAAACTTTTCGAAGAAACTGCATACAACTAAGATAAGGAAAAAAAAAAAGAAGAAGCAGAGACGAAAAGTAGTGCTTGGGACTTAAAAAATGCCTAATTTAGCACAAATCCTCGAACAGTCAAGCGGTACAAGGCCGGTATGTGTATCGGTCTATTTTCTTTTCTGATCATTGTATAAAACAAATAGATTCCATGTCGCCGTGGGTCTGTTCAGTAATAGATCACAGAGGACGTCAAAATGTGGTGAAAACATCAGTGCTCACCTGTGGCTCGTGTGCCACTTCTTTGTTTTTACCACATTTTGACGTCATCTGTGATCTACTACTGAACAGACGCACGGCAACATGGAATCTATTTGTAAAAATGTTGTCAATATTCAGGGGCACCCAACGTCAAATTTTCGGAAAATATCAGTTCGGAAGACGATTTGAGATCTAGAATTTTCGGAACATTTTTTGTAAAATTTCTTGCTTGCCTGCCTCTCCTAGGCTTTTCGAACATCTAAAAAGTGGTATAATTGCCCATTTTTAACGGATTTTTACCCTAAAAAGGTCACCTAGAATTTTCGGGAGCCTTTTTCTGGCTGAAATTTTCGAAAAGGTAAGTTTTGATCCCTATAATATTCGGATCACTAGACTTTCAGCTAGGAAATCCGAACAGATGAAAAATTTTTAGTGGATAAAAATATGCCTATATCTACCGTTTAAATACTAAAATACATTTAACAATGCTATGTTTAAGTGGTTTTGTACTATATTCTCGTTGGGTGCCTCTGAATGTTGTGCGCCGGTGCTCTGGTAACGGGTGTATTTCCTGTTTAGGTTGTAGGATTTACGTCCAGTGGTTCATACTGTTACCAGCTAAAGAAGAGCATGTGCTTTGCCTATTTGCCGGCTTATTTGACCACGCTGGGATGTCAAGTGGAGGTGGAAATGCTAGGAAATAAGTACCCCGCAGTTGTCGTCAAACAACCATTATTTAATCTCGAGCCAATACGCGGGCCTACTTTGTATCAGAACGGAAAGACCGGCATGCTTGCCAGCGGATGAACGCAAAAGATCTGGCCTGATATCAAGGCTTAACTCTTCTAGTGTAGTTATTCCTAGCTCTCCTAGTCTTGTGAATGTGTAGAGAACGCAATGCAAATATCTAGCCTCATCCATTCAGCGGGAATACCGCGTCAGTAGCCTTTGAGTTTGTGCGTCCCATGATTTCGGCTTCTTGGATAGCTACCCGAAGTTATACGATTTCTGAAACCAACTCGCGAATATTTCACCAGACAACGAGTCGAATTCACGAAATGATGTTCTGGGCCTATCTTATCCTATCCGTAACTTTTTTTTTGTAATAGCCAATGACGCGCAAAACGTTAAAAAAAAAGTTGCCTCAAGGTAGGGAGAATACCTCTTAAAAACATAGAATCTTAACCCGCATACTTTTGAGAAACTGGAAATTACCTGGGCGCACCTTGCATCAGAATGTTTAGGCATTATAGAGAGTTGCTTTGCTTTTTAACGAAGCTAGGCTGACATTTCAGCAGTATTTAGCTACGAAACTGAATGATGAGGGGTGCATTTTTCTCTATAGAGTATTGCATTCCTCGCTGGTTGCTACTGAGGAATCATATAGCTTTCGAGGTATGTCGTTGCTTGTGGTCCGAAACTTACAGAGCTATCGAAAAGTCAGGACTAGCCGGCCAGACCGGTTATTTTAAAAATGAAATAGAATTCTTTTTATATTTTTCCCAAGATACCCGTCGCTGCTGATATCGTTTTCTGATTAATGATAATATTTTTGCCTGGACAGCCTGTTCTGACTAATGGGAAGTGCCCTTAGTTCAACCTGTTTCCTGATTTATAAACCGTCCATGCGGACCATACTCTTTAAAAATGCAGTCAATTAAAAATAAATCAAACACCTCTAGACAGCAAAAAAGACCAGTGCGTTAAACTCGTCACTTTTATTACAGTTACTTTAAAATCAACTATGTACATTCACTTTCAGCAGAGTGTTCCGTACCCTGATTGCCTGAGGTTTTTTTTCTCTCCTAATTCCTAACAATAGACTTTTTTAGCTTGTGTGCTTGTGTGTTTTGTTTTCCCATTTCAGACCACGTGATGGTACCCCAGCCAGAGAACAGTTTCTTTCAAGTATCGTCCTGTGCATGTGTATCCACGTGTACATGTATGCATAATCTATTAAAAGACAAGAGGCAAATTCCCTGGAGAACATCACATCGTCCGAAACATGCGAGCTAAAAAGGTCTATTAACGGCGAAGCCGCGACAGCGGGACGCGAAGCGCCCAGAGAGAGAGAGGAAAAAATCCCTCTGGTCACAGGAGTTACTACAGGGCGCAGAGGTGTTATTTGTGACCTTGATTGCAGTTTTAAAATTTTACAGTTGATCCAGATAGCGCGATGCGCGATTCTACTTTGTCTGTACTTTAGACCCTATCCGTTGGTTCTTAGATGTATTTCGTTAGCTTTGATTTTCGCAAAATTTAACACGCTTCTTAATTAATTTCCTCCAGGAGCCACAATGGGCTCTTGTTTCCTCCCAAAATCAAAAAATTAATACTCGCGAAATACGGCTTCAGTGTTTTTGCGAAATTAAGCATACACGAAAACTGGTAATAATTACTAATCGTTAACACTGTTATGACACTTGCTCTAGTTAATCCTATATTTATGATCAAATTTGGCCGACTTAACAACACTATCCCTAGATAGCCCAACTACTAGCTAACAGTTTTAAAGTAATGAGTTCAATCAAAAATCATGGTTACAGAACACCCGAAATATCAAATTAATAAACAAACAAACACCATCAAAACAATAAGCTTTGCCACGGGAACAGTACATGCAATTATACCCAAATATCGTCATCGTAGGGGTCCCATGGATAATCATTGTCGGGTTCTGGTTCAGGTGCAGGTGCTGGAGCAGCTGACTCTCCGGAGACGACAATCTTGCAGTTGTAACAGTGGATCACAACACCTTGACGTTTTCGTCGCTTGGAAATGATACCATATTCATCCACAACCTCTTGGAAAGTGATTTCCATTCCAACTTTGCATTGTCCCTTTCTGTCCAGATGCTTGCTTTTTATTTCCTCTCTTAACTTTGTTTTAACACCATCCCCTAAGGAACCTGAGAAAGATAAGCACCAGGCTTCAGTTCAGTGTTTAAAGGGTGGATGACGCTATCAGTGAATAGTGCAATTGGTTTCCTAATAGTAATACTTATGCGCGGGACGGTTAATTTTATACGGTTGATATATTTAACAATTATTCCTAGAGCCCGAATGGGCTCTGAGTCAATAACCTATGAGGCCGAAGGGCCGAATGGCCTTTTGACTCAGAGGCTATGAGAGCGAGAGGAATAATCGTTTTAGTAAAATCCAACTAGTTGGTCAAAAATACCGAGAATAAAAACATTTTAGCTAGTTAAAGCTAGACTTTAATCCTTTTTTGCCGCTAAACAGCCCGCGCTTTTCGCTACTAGTGGGCTTTAACATATAACCTGGTAGTAGCTCAACCAATCAGAACGCAGCATTGATAATAGACCACTAGTTGGATTTTACTAAATAGCGCTATCCAACGTTTGAACAACGTTATCCCGAGGAACACGATGTTTAAAATCTGTATGACTGAACAACCTCTTTTCGCTAAAACTTTTATGAGGTGTTTTTTCTTCCGTCTCGGTTCAAACATCCAGTAAATTGAAGGCGGTCATGAGGGAAAACAGAAATTTAGAGGTTTAAAACTGTAGCACATTTTGCAACATCGCACGGGTTGTTTTTAATTAACCGTGATATGACCCTCGATAACCTAAAAAAATAGTATACGACTCGAATCAAGAGATAACATTCTCTCTTGACTCGAGAGTATTGCATGACTTATAATATATAATCATATTTTTCCACTTAACCTGTGATGTGAGGCCTTAATAACTTTACGTCGTCATGATGAGAAACATGCATTCGATATATTTTTTTTATGTTATTTTATTTTTCATGGTACACCTTGAACTGATCCAACCAGCTAAAGGAATTTTCTTAGCACTGACAACGAGAAAACTCAAGTCAATCATGGCAAACCCTGACGTTTCACCACCCAAAAATATAATTATAATCGGTCCGAATTTATCGGTATGTTACAAAAAAGCCAGTAGCAAAAAAAAACCAACAACAATAATAACTAGACTTAACTAAGATACAACTGCCTCAGCAAAAAAACGACTGATGGATTGCAAATTTTCTCAAGTTTACCTTGCATCAAAGAGTTTAATTCCTTTTCAGTCTCTTCAATCATTGAACAGTCAACTATCTTGTAGTAGAAGGACGTTTTCTAGGGACGAAACAAAGTTATATTTTATGGGTCCATTACTTAAGTATAAGACGATATGTTACTTTCTAAATACAGGTCTGTTTTGCAGGACTGTAGGAAGAAAAGATTCAAGCCCCGTACACACGTATCGGACGGATCACAAAATGGCTTCAAAAACGATGACTTCAAAGCATCTGATCTTGCATGAATCAAGCGGAATGTTACAGTGTCAGAGTGTCTGCAGTGTCTGCAGAGATTTGATTAGCTTAGTTGGGGAAAAGGAAAAAAAACGCCCGAGAGTCTTGATCGAGAAATTTTGACACCCACAGGGACGTGACGAATTTTGTTTCGCAGATATGATACAGTAAAATCCCACGACACCAAGTACCTTGTTTTTAAGAACCTGTTAGGCCGCCTCTATCATTATAAGAACCCTTTAAGCGTAATGGGTCTAAATTACGAATCGGGTCTGTCCAAGATCGTTCAACTCATTTCACTACTACTTGGAATTTCTCACCCACAAAAACGTTCCTGAGTAATACACCTAGCCCGATGCAATTGAACAGAGGCGAAGAAAATGATAGTTCTTTTTCAATGATAAACCGTTAACAAGGATACTGACTTGGGGGTTCACAGCAACATCAATAAAAGAACCAAATTGAACTGCCACACTGAACGTAACCTGCAATCAGCATGCTTTTTTCCTCTTTAGTCATATGGCGAGGTGGAAGGGAATTCGCGCAATTTTGTCTGCACAAACCTGTTGAAGATCAGTTCCGCTACTTGGGGGCCCTTTCACCACCTTGGTGGTAACCTCCTTTATGTAGCCGTGACCCTCAAGATCTGCCTTTTGTAGCATTTCGCCCATCTTATGCTTTGTGCACTGAACGTCTAAGTTGTACAACCTCACTTTAATGACCTCTTCAGTGTTAACTTCTGAAAATAGTAAATGAACACAGTAAATATGATTATTTTCAACCTAAAAAATTCTCGAATGCCTGGGTCAACAAAAAGTAAATGGGTTTTTATTACACATTTGACGATCCTGTCAAACTATCTATTTAGTTAATGTGTTTCTATAGATGTGTATCTCTGGTACAAAAATGCCAATCTCATGCTAGGCTAGGTCAACTAAGTTGATTGTTGTAAGAGAGATCCAAATAAGAAGCGCCGTCATTTTCCCAAAAAAACAACCAGAACACAGGGGAAAGAAAAAACTGACCTGCAACATTCCAAGTAGAAAATAGCGCAAATAAAACCACCAGAATCTTCCGAGCCATTGTGAGAGACTATAAACTGGTGAATCGATCTTCCCTTGTTATCAGGAAGGCAAGGATCTGAGTGTTGGTTAAAACTGCAGATTGAGCTGAATTTTATAAGGTTTCTGTGACGTAACACGATAGTTTGTTTACCTCAACGTTTTGTTACCAAACTCGAGTCGCTTCAGTTCTACTTACCTTTTGGATGGTTTTGTTTGTCTACCAATACGCTGAAACGTTCACCGGTCACGTATTTTGAGGAACAAATTCTAAAATTTGCCTCCAACGGACCTAAAATTGTTATCGGACAACTGCATCCTAACAGCTACAAAGGAAGTGTCATTAGACAATGTCAGTTTTATACTTCCTTTTTCAGCCTATAGACAGAGGTTTTTAGATCCTCACACTTAACGTAACAACGCAAAGGAAACGCGTTCTTTGTTGCCCATTTGTCCCAACACTTGGAATGCTAAAGTTTTGCAACTTTTTGAAGCTCTGTCATCTTACAATCTGAAAAAAAAAAGATACATGGCCAACTCTATTTCAACGGTGCTTCTACTGCGGCGTTAAGCTGATACGATTGTTTTTAGAAGAAAGAAAGAACAAACGAACAAAACAGTAAGGAGGAAAAACAATTATAATAACTTCCTTGAGTTCCACGTCTTCTTCGCCCCTTCCCCGCTAGCAGTCATTGAGAAACGTTTCCTAGACAGTCTGAGACAGTCTTGGATTCTGGATTTCACACGATGGATTCCGGATTCCGCATTCCATGTACTTGATTCCAGTCTTTGTCAGGAGAACTTGGGTCTGGATTCCAATCCTTAGTAGGATTTTGGATTCCTTGAGCTGTATTCCGGATTCCAAAGTCCAGGATTCCGGATTCCACTAGCAAAAATTTCACAGATTCCGGAATCCGGACTCCCTTACACGGGGCGATATTTCCTTTTGTAGGAAGAACTGAAGCGGAACTGGCACTGTGACCTTAATGACCCAAGCAGTCAAAAAGACACTTAGCGGCTCTCAAAGTTACGGAAGCACTATTTTATTGCCCCATGCATGTTTTCCTGTCGGCAATACAGTTCTGATAATGGCTAAAAACAGTGATAAATACTAGGTGAAACAACAGCGTTCCCTTTGTTTCTGTCGCTTATGGGGGCTCTCAGGAAGGAAATATCTTGCGAGTGAAGCAAACGCGAAACAAAGCGGGGCAAAACGGACCGATCACAGATCCGCTTTGGCTCGGTACATTCCGGTACAGAAGCACTCTCTGGGAAACAAAACGAACCAAGCAGATAGCCGCTTTTGAACGGTGCTGGTCAACTAGGCAGTTGGAAAGCCCCATTCGACAGTCCGCGGTAGCTAACGACTTAAATGCACTGAAAAAATTGTAGAATTTGTAAGGGAGTTGGAACGGGTTTTTTTTCACAGGTGGCTTTCCCTTTTACGAGACTTAAAATCGCTCAGGGGGGGGATAATGTTGAATAAAATTCGAAGTTTTGGGCATCTCCCTAAATTTATTGATTCGCTCTCCCTTTGATAGCTTCTTAGCGACTATTCGAACTCCTGGAACACAATTTCTTCTTTTCGTTGGCTAGCTTAGTGGTATTTTCTATGTCTGAATCTGTATATTTCTGGTAAAGATAAACACAAGCTTTTGGTTTCAAATTGATAAACCAATCCAGTCCAAATATTAAACACAGATGATACCCCAGCATTAGTAAAACTTGTTTGTACATGGTAAGATAACCTTTAAAAAAAGGTTGGTGCAACTTTTTCAAGTTTACCTAATAACATCCATTTAAATTCTCTGTATGTCTTCAGTAGTAGGTGGTGATGAAATGGCCTATAATCACTGAGGGTGACCCTTGGTCCCTTTCAAATTCTTTACCCTTTAAGCCAACTCACTACACAAGTAACTCCCTCCCTTTCAGCGCGATTCATTCCGTTTTAGAGTGTTAATGGAGACACTGATGCAAGATTGAGGAAGTTTTATTCATGGCTGATTGTAAGTATCCTTAAAAGCTGAAACAGATGGTACGTGATCTCGATACTGAAGGGAATTTGGGACCTTTGTTGCGTTAGTCTCACATTTCAGTTCCCTTGTATCGCCGTATATCATCATATGCTGAGCTGTACAGTAACTTAAAAATATCAACGAAATAATGATTTGTTCGGTGCCTTTTAGTCCAAATTCACAGTCATAACCCACAGTAGAAGAAGATCCACTGCTTTTTACCGTTTTATGGCAAATGCTCAGAAATAGCACTTTTAGGAGCTAAATTGATGCTCAGAAACCCATAGAAGCTCAATAGGAAATCGTTGTCGTAGGAAAGGAAACTAGCCACCATTAAAAGTTCTCTCTCGAAATTTTGCACGGCCTTCCCCTTGTATGAGGTCTACACGTTATTAAGCCTTCGAGCAAGCTCTCCGGGGCAGGAAAAGGAAGGAGAGCGTGCAGCCAACGTCAGTCTGAAATTTGAATTCCACCTCCAATTTCTCTTTGCCTCCCTATCAACTGAGCCATCAGATTTCCGCCAATCAGCGCGTAGCGGAAACGAGCGCGAATGTAAACAAACATAGAAAAACACGTGCAAAGGGTAATGACGTCATTACTAATGTCATCTCCGCCAATCCGCATTTTGCATCGACTTTGCCGATGGAGATACTCAAATCAGGACCCACTCAAATTCCAGAGACCTGTAGTTGCAAGCTCTCCTTCCTCCCCCACCCCCCTCCCGGCGCCACCAGAGCGCCCCGAAGAGCTTGCTCGCATGGGCTACGCGTTATTTGGGGCGTAGCCTCGGGCGATATTTGCATTTCTGCAAGTGGGGCGTTCACGTGTCTGCTTTTGCTTTCTCGCGAGGTCCCTCAGTTTTAAATTAACTGTTGACATTTCTTTGCGTAAAATAATATTAGAGGTGGAATACCTTTAAAGTACAGTGAAACCCCGCTTTACGGACACCCGCTTAATACTTTTTATTATTCATTCAAAATATTTCCCCGATTCTGATTGGCTAAAAGCACACGTTTAATTCACCATAACCACTTACTGACCAAATTTGGAAGAATTTTGTGTTTAGCGAGGAAATGAGGTCAAAAATGCAGCGTTCTTGCAGGTTAATGAACCGTTAACCGAGAAGACCTGGGGACGAGGTTGAGTTGATTTGGTTGTGAACTTGAAAAATGGCTGACATTTCACTCGTTTTAAGAGTAATAGCTAAAACCATGGCAAAAACAGCAAGAAGACAACTCGAAATTACAAGTGTTGTATCAGGTCCCATTACCTACTCACCTGACGCTATTCCCCTGGTTGGTCCCGATGCACGGGTTCCTAATATGTGGCTGGCCCTTGGGACGGGTTACGGCAACCTCGTCCCCAGGGCTTTTCCCTCCACCCACTTTTTGAGGAAAAAGCCCTGGGGACCAGGCTGGGGTTACGGTATTGGTCTGGCTGGTAGGTTCATTCAGACTTTAATAATCACCACATCCAAATCATGCTGTATTAAGTAATACAAATTGACCATACAGCGTAAAACAGTTAAAAGCTAAGGAAATTCTCGGGCTGTTTTTTCTTTGCTGGTTTCCTCAGTGGTCGATTTGCGCGCGATCCACCTTAAGATCATTTCCACACTGGCAAAACATACCACCAATTTACTAAGTGAGGCCTGCACAAATGTGGACAGCCCTTAATCCTTTGATTACTCAAAGCACTTGTCGTGTCGTGTAAGTTTTATTTGCAAAATAACTTTTAGATCTTTGTCGCCCAAGATAAAACAAATGGAGCGAAAGTTATTCTGCGAAGTTAGCTGTCATGGAAAGCTAATGTAGCCTGGTGCTCATCTCATCTTGTTTTATACTCGATAAAAATTACTCCATCTTTGAACTGCATTTTACAGGTGGTATCTGCAAATACTTATCTGACTGGATGATTGAAGGAGAACCGCCTTTCGACCTCATTGAATGGGAACCTAATCGCTATGGTAACTGGGCCACAAGAGAAGTAAAATTTCTCGACAACGCCTTTTTGTATCTTTTCGCAGAGGCTGTGTGAGCGTGGCGCGCAGATGGGCATGCGCTCTGGTTGGGAGCAGCCCAACTGGTTCGCACTTGATGGTGATGAGCCAGGTTATAAACCCAGTTTTCGACGGACAAACTGGTTCGAGCCCGTTGGTCGAGAATGTGATCTGGTCTTGAATAAAGTTGGCGTTATAGACCTGTCTCCTTGTGCAAAAATTGAGGTGACAGGAAATGGCGCTGGTTCTTTTCTAGATGTGATTTTTGCCAATGAACTACCCAAGGTAAGATAGTTATTTTTTATTGCTGGAAAAAAATTCAATGAAAACACAGAACTTATGATGGCTTTTTTTAGTATGGTTGGATTCTATGCTTCACCTATTTACAAAAAAAGTTAATTGCGTTCTGTTGAAGGGTATTCCAAATACTGATATAACTTTGCCTTGAAACGTTATTTCTCTAAACAAGACAAGTACATTTGGGGAGAAGGGCGGGGGGGAAGGGGGGTTGCAGTTGGACACTAGGCTCGATTTCCGTCTCACTCTTGGTTCCGGTCTTGTTGAGACTGTTCACAGCCCTTTATTTTTTCGTAAGACCGTCGAGATCAAGCGCTTTACTTTTCTTAGCGGGCTGCCATCTTAGATGAGTGTCAAATCTACTTAGGGGACGGGAGAAGGTTTGGGAGGATGCTTTAGACCCCGACGCCCGCCTACTCGTTACATATCAGTAAACAGAATGGCACCAGATGATGTTTTTCTGTTGTTAATAAATCCTCCGAGCAAGAACAAACCAGTGCAAAAGTTAATTGCAAAATACGTATTCGACTGCTATGAGAAAAAAAGATCATTAGTTCTTTAGGTTAACATTGATTATAGTTCCACTAGTAGGCAATGTGTGTTATGATTTTAAATTATTTGGATAAAGTCGATGTACATAGGACTGTATAAGACTCCAAATAAAGCATTGTCTTGTCTTGTCATATGAAACCACGATGGCCGCCCCCACCGGTAAGAGCTAAAAGTATTTTTTGTTAAGGATTTCCCTGTTATATCACAATTATTAGAGACCTTTAGATTCGAAGACGGAAACGACTACGAGTACGAGATTTGACTGAAAGATGTTTTAGCGTATTTTCCAAAAGTGGACACCTCGGAAAGCTTCATTATACTTTTGAATCACCAGAAAAGTTAGCACAGTTATCTTAATTGAGGGAGGTTTAGCCCTCTTCCATTTGCAAATTCATAAAGCTTCCAAAATCTTAGTGATAACTTGTTTTCGCCAGTAGGACATTCTCGCTTAAACTCGTAGTAGAATGACGACAAATGACGACAGCTGTCGCGTTTTCCCGCCAAAATGACGCTGGCTCATGCGCGAGCACTACCTAGTATTTAGATAATTTCATGCTCGTAGTCGTTCCCGTCTTAGTATGTCTTAGTATCTGAAGGTCTCTATTTGTGTATCTTCCTTGAGTGTCGATTTACAATGAGCCTGCGAGAAAGCTGTCGGGGAAAGTGGTCGAGGAAATGAGTTCTCTCCTCTTACTGTACTTTTAGGTGGGGCACACAAACATAAGCCTTATGTTGACACCAAAGGGGAAAGTGTACGCGGAAATGAATGTCTCTTGCTTGGCGCCAGACCATTATTTGTTGGTAACTGGAAGTTCCAGCGAGTTTCACTACCTCAGGTATATACTACTTTAATTTGTATATCGAAGGCTTCATCTGGTTTTATATTTTCATTGAGAGTTGTTGTTCCTAGATTCCAGGGAGTTTGTATGATATGGAAAGAGGCTAGCCTATGTCGCCGCTGCTCCTGAGTGGGCAGCTGTGCAGGCTATGAAGAGGCACGCTCGAAGGAGGTTAGGAGCGGAAAGACAAACCAAACAAATACGAGATAGAGTCGTTTTTTTTCCAAGCAAAATTAAGCGCCGAGTAGTTTGTTCAATAAGATTCAAAACTTGCTTTTTCACAGGTGGCTACTGGAAAATCAGCGTAAATTTAATTATGATGTCCAGATCAAGAATATCACTGATGACGTGGCCTGTCTGG